AAATAAAGACATGCACCTAACGTTCTCTAACTGTTGTATTCAATCACTTCTTTGTCTTTCCTTTCCTGACACATAAAACCCTTGTCCATTGTCAGGTTAGCCTACTCAGTCTGGGTTCATTTTGACTTACTGTTCTAAAACCTGTTGCCTTGTTTGGATAATAGCGAGAACCCTTTTTCCACACTAGATGCTCCAACCTGAATGTGTGGGTGCTTTAGCCAAACCTCTCACAATGCTACGGCAGCTGGTGTGACTGCTGAGTTGGACCCTGTTCTCAAGCTTGGTGAAGTCCTACCTGGATAATGGACTTGATTAAGTTTGTAGCCAAGACCGTCCCAGAACAAGGGTTGGCGCCGGGCTGGATCTAGTCATTCCTTTGTGCACAGATTCTTGCAGACAAATTCACCAAGGTAAACCTTGGAAGGCTGGGGCTTTCCTCAGCTCCCAGCTGCCTTCTTCCAATCTTTGCCTATGCAGAATGCCTGTGTGTGCCGGGAGGGGTCTAGATCTGTGTTTACATAGAGAAAAGATGGTGGTCAGGTGATGTCCCTCTGTCGTCCCAAGCTACACACACATCTAAAATATTATGTTGCCTTGGGTTTGACTAAGCATGGCTTGTAGAGTGTTTCCATGGATACCCCAAAACTGTGTGTGTTAATTCCTATATATTGACACTAACCGTTGACAAGTGGGTCGTGTGCTCAAGTGGTTTAAATGGTTAGGAGGGAAGCTGCTGATCAACACTGAAGAGGTATAACTTAAGGAACGGGTGGTATCAGTGATTGCTTGGTGTTTAGAAGAGTCACATGACTTCCTGAGCACTTGTTCACTTAATCAAAGGTTAAAAGCTCTAAGCTATGGGAAAAAAGCAGCTCTCACATGAGAATTCCGAGACGCTTTCAAAGACTTGCTATTGCAACATCGGTGGAGAGGACAGACTGAAGGACAAAGACAAAGCCCAGAAAGATGCCTAAACAAAGAGCGTGGGGTGAAAAATCAACAAGCCATAAACAACTGTGAGAATGGTAATTTAAAGCACTGAGAGCAAAAGTTAAACATACCAAATAAATTAGCATAAATGTTACCATAAGGGAAATGTTTTATTTGACACAGTCTGAGCCACTTAGTGCTTATAAGAGTTACAGAGAAAGCCAGAAACAGGAGAAGAAAAGCAACAGCAAAACATAAGAACACACAAAAAATTAGAGAACATGTACAAGAGAATAGCTCAGCAGGGATGTTCCTGTCTGTGGAGCCAGTCTGGCCCACAGCATAGTAGGTGGTGTAACACTGACAATATCCTCATATCAAACAAACTTCTTATTCCATTGGATACAAATACACACATGAATTCAAGGGAAGGCATTTTCCTGTATATTTAGTCTTTTTTATATTGATTATTAGCTCATCACAGATTTCTGGTAAACTGTGCTTATTTTGAAACATGTTAAGTACATACACCATTGTATACATTAAGTATTTTATATTGAATTTAAAAAGAGAAAGACAGAAATACAGCAAGTATGGGTAACTCTTTTAGGACTAAGAATTATTTTGGTTTGTTTATTTGTTTTTAAGATAGCCAATACTAGAGATGAGACTGATCCAGCACCAATGGTAAAATTAATTATGCAGAAGTTGGAAAGGACACAGGCGAGGGAAGTCCTTGGTTCAACAGTGGGAGGGCTCAGCTGTGTGGTGGAGAGGCTGTCCTTCACTAGATACAGATCGACTGCCTTTGAACTAGCAGGAAGCCAGGTTACATGGGTACAGGTGCAGGTCATTTGGAGTTGGAGAAATGTGCATCTTCTCTGTTGCATCTACTTTCTCAGGAAAGTGATGGAAAAGGACGTTTGATAAGTCAGGTTAGAAGAGGAAGTATTTCAGCTATGAGGACAAAGACCTGAGATAGACTCCTCAGAAACATTACTGGGAAAACCATGTGAAGAAAATAGCCTTGAATTTAATAGATTGGTTCAGCTGCACCAGTAAAGATTTAAAATGGACAGGACACTGAACTTAAATTAACCAGGGTAGGGTTTTTTCCAGGAGAATAAATGAGAAGAAAGAGAGAAGGGGAACTAGAGTTATATACAAGGAGTGATTATGATGAAAGACTTGCAGAAACTAAACCACATGTGGGCATGATGGAGACTGAGAAGGCAATGGTTTGGATGATAGTTTGGACGTCCAGGCATCATAAAGACACTGTCAGAGACGGGAGAGCACTGGCAATGGGCTCAAAGAAAGGCAGTGAGGAGTAAGTGACAGTGAGCTCTGAATTTAGGAGGTTGAATTTACTAGTAATGACAAATTCTAAGATGACCTTGGTGAGGGGCTGACATGGGGTTGAGGAGAGCTCACTGGTTACAGACAAGTTGAACGTAGTACTGAGATGTTACATGGATTGTTTGCATGAAAATTAGAATGACTTAAAAATGATGTCCAAAGTAGGGAGAGAAATGTGGTTGTGGCGGTACACCCCTGTAATCCCAGCACTGGGAAGCTGAGACAGGAGTATCACTGTGAGTCAAGCTCAGCCTGGGCTAGATAGTGAGTTCAAGACCAGCCTAAACTATATGGTGAGACCTTGTCTCAAAAAAACAAAAAAAAAGAAAAAAAGAAAAAAAAATTAGAGGGAGAAAAAAGGAATGAAGACAGTGGGCTACCTTCTGAGTTTTCAAGGAATAGGAGTTGATAGGCAGGGTCACCCCACAAGGAAGGGTGCATATTAGTACACTCTGGTGGTATGTGCTTTAAAATCATTGTTAATAAGTACATAAAGGAACTTTTATTGATAACCATTAATGTCTGTCAGGATAGAGGGTATATGAGATACAGCTATTTTATATAAAATGAAATAAAACACTCCCCAAAATATTTCTATATATTTAGCAATGACACAGAGCAAATTTTAATCATGGCCATGAATATTATTGCTATTTTTTCAGAATTAGTAAGAAATTTCCAGGTTTTCAGGAAGTAGGTAGTTACTTTCTCACATAAGAGCTATGAAAGGCTCAAGTGAGAATGTTAATGAATTTCTTGGAGCTGTACTTGACTCACAGTACATGCACAATAAAAATTCATGGGGCAAACACTAAAGACACCTTCCTAGGAAGGAGATTACCAAGGCTATCTTGCCACACTGTTCTGTATACGCTGTCTTATACCAAAAACCAACTCTTATATCAAGGGTCCCTTGACCTATGCTGAGCTCCCCTAACATATAACCTGGATCGTTTTTCTAGTATATTTGAGAAAAGTCATGTATTAAGAAATATAAACTCACTGGGCATGGTGGTACATGCCTGGAATCCCAGTGCTCAGGAAGCTGAGGCAGGAGGATTTCTGAAAGTTGAGGCCAGCCTGGGGTATGTAGTAAGTTCAAGGCCAGCCTAAATTACAGAGCAAGTCCCTGTTTCAAAAAAGAAAAAAATTCAAACTCTATTTCTGAATGTTGTAAGTACTGTGGTGGGGTTAATGATTGGTGTTATTAGGCAACTAGCTAGCAATGTTTTTATAATCTCTCAGCATATATTAAGACACCAAGTCCAGAATCAATAAAGTTGGATATATTAAACTATGTTAGAATGCTAAAAACAGAATAAACATACATCATAACCAAGATTGGAAAGCAAAGCAAAAGGCAAATCAGGAAAATTACTTGTGACATCTAACATGGAAAAAGAATAACTAATGTACAAAAGACCTTATAAAATAAAGAGACATAAATCATAATTTTCAAAAGGACAAAATGCATAGATATGAAAAAGGCATTAGAATCATAAAAACTGAGTAAAAAAGATATTTTTAGAAGGAATTAAAGGAATACTATAAAACAGCATTGTTCAGCATTGAACAATGTTTTTCCAATTATTAATGGAAATGAAAATTATCACATTATTGTCTTTGTAGTTGACAGTTGGCGATTTTGATCAAAATCTTAAATGTACAGCCCTATTTACCTGGCAATTCCATTTCTAGAACTGTATTCTAAGGAAATAAGGGAAAAAGCACCCAAACCTGACATAAACCTCAGCATCAGTAATAGTAGAAAAACACAAGTAGTAGAAGTCATGAGAGGACACATGTATTTCTGAATGAAACAAGTATATCTCAAAATAGCTTCTGTAGTTTTAATCACCTTATGTAGATGTCTGACAGGATGTCTAGCCAGACTAGTAGTGATTTTCTTTGAGCAGCTTCATTCTGTTTGCCCCTTGTCCCTGCTTTGATTTTCTCAGCTGTGCTTACCAGCATCTGATACGCCTTTATGGGTTGCTGACTTATTGCTTACTGCCTGACTCCTTCCTCCCTGCATCAGAAAGGAATTGCTGAAAAGAGTGCAGTCATATTTCAGGTGCACAAGTGTGAAGGAAAGAATGTGTGTGTGTGTGTGTGTGTGTGTGTGTCCCTTCGTTCCAAGGTAAATGTTTCTGTGCCTTTAGTCTGATGCCCTCCACGATATTTCCCGGAAAGATCTTGATTAAAGGGGATAATGATTAACTTATAACCTCTTTAAGCTTTGTCTGGGGCCAATCCCACCAAAGAGAAAATTTTCACTCACATTCGTAAATTTGACATTGAATTTTACTTAAATAGGAATAGTCGAGCTCTCAAAGTGTGTATGTGGGGGATACTCACATATTTTTCTCTTCTAAAGTTATGATTATCATTGAATTAAATGAAGCACATCACTCCTAGCCCATTGAAAACCCGTTGCTCAAAATTTGTTACCAGTTTCATAGAGGAACGAACACAGAAATTTCAAAGTGGGAAAGCTGAATTTCCTTCCCCCTCTATTTTAAAATGCAGCCTCCTTGGCCAGTCAGAGGACAGCCATGTCTGGGTTTTCCACAAGCAGGACTCTGCCTTGCGTAGCATCAATGTAAGAATGCAACTGAGGTGAAAGACACTTCCATTTATGTGCTGGTGGTCCTATTTAGGACATGGGAAGCAAAAACTGAGAATAGAAACAACCTCAAATTTCTGGGTACCTGTTTGTTTCTCAGGGGCTGAACCACCTCCCTCACGCACAGCGCCAAGTCATTGACATAGTCCTTCTCTGTCTGGATCAGCTCTTTGATGATGTTGGCCCGCTTTGCCATCATCTTCTCCACCTGGTGCTCTTCCTCAGAGCTCGGGCTGGCAGCTGCGGGGCCGTTGGCCTGTGGGGTCATCTTTTCTGTGAAATGAAAACATGCCCAGGTGAGACACTACGGAAGGCCCTTCCTGCTGTCCCTCAGCTTCCAGGAAGGTCAGAATTCAGCAAACTGTGACCAAGAGGACAAGACATTAAACACTACTCCAAAGCCATGGCTGCTTCAAAGTATCCCACTGCTGGAATCTGAGGCTGTCAAACTGATCTTCAGCCCGGAGATAGCATGAATCAAAACAACACAGTTCAGAACTTCTGGGCATGCCTGCTTCGACACAAGGGAAAGACTTTCATTAGTAAGTGACATACCTTGCAATTGTGTTCATCCCTAATCTTAAAAATAATTATGCTTCATCCTCAGTGGGTAATAAGCAAAGAAACAAGAAACACTTGCACACATAGGGACTTTTCATCTTAATTCACAACCAGAATCCATGAGGAGGGAGGCAATGGTGAACAAAAGTCCTAGCAAAGATTCTTGATGGCACATCATGTTATTTCAAGTTTTAATTCAAAACTTATAGTACTAAGGAGATGGTGCGATAAATGGCATGCCTTGCGTGTAGCCCGGGTTTCATACCAAATATAAAAGTAAGAAAACTAAATATCTTCAAAGACATGCTTCCCACAGCAATGTAAAACTCTGGCAGCTGTGAACAACTGACCCTAATTCAGACTACTGACTGTGACATCAGAGAAGTCCTAGATAGCACAGCAGAGTGTGGGCTCGTGTGTGTGTGTGTGTGTGTGTGTGTGTGTGTGTTTGTTTGTTTCAAGCCACAAGCTCAATTTTTGCCCTAGTCTCTGCAGTTCAGAAGTAATTTTATTTCATGTAAAATTAATGACCTTAGTAATTGACATGTGCGATGTCTTCTGTATTGGCATCACTTTCTAAGAATGTAGAACGTTACAGAAGGATGGACCCACACCCAACTGGACCAGACAGATCCCCCACGCTGGCCCCTGACCAGCTCTGCACCTGTGCATTTCTCACCCTGGCCGTGGCCACCCATTAACTGTGAGCTGGTGCTACATTATTTTCTCTTGGGACGGGGCAGCAGAGGTGCCAACCAACTGACCAACCTGGTCATGGACGAGCACAGTGCCCCAGAAGAGAAGGTAATCCTGGAGGGCCCGCAGATCCGGGGAGAAATTACAGACCTGGCCAGCAGCGCCAGCCCCAAGAAAGGCATACTGCTGTTGTAAACTGCAAAAGCAGCATGGAATTTCCTCCAGGAGTGACTCCACAGTGGAGTAGAATAGGTGAAGAAACCCAGTGTAGCCCCCGCCACGTTGCCAGAGAGAGTTTAATCGGGTCCCATTTTGGAAAGAGGCTAATGGTTTCAGAGTAAGTCACAGAACCACTCCACTTCAGAGTGTCAGTGTTACCCTCCCACAGGGACTGAATGAGAGTCAGCCACGGGGGGAAAGCCAAAGAGAGAGCAGGCTAAGCACAGACCCACTGAGAAGTTACATACAATTTACATATTCCCTAGTTTCTATTATATGGAAGCCAAAAACGATAAAGAGCACAATAGAATACTGTGCTCTAACTAAACAAATAGAGAGGTAGATCTTTTGCAAAGGGGCAGGACACCAAGAGATGGAGGGCGTGGGGGGCAGGGAAGGAGATGAATGAAAATTAAGATGTGTGGTGTATGTGTACCAACCCCCCAGGAGAAGTGTAGTCATTATGTAATGCAGACATGTACTAATGAAAAATAAAAACTGAAAACAATGGAACTTTATAAAACGACCTATAAAAAGCGTGTATGGGAAAAATGTGCAGGTCACAATGTACAAGTGAAAGTGGAGGGAGGTGTTCTCTTAGCTGGCTCTCGAAAGAAAGGGAGGTCAGCTGGAGAGGTGTCGCAGCGAAATTCGGGCTCAGTGCAAAGTGCCTGCCCCAAAGACAGGAGCTGAACTTCAAAAGCTAATGAACCTCTCTCTCTCTCTCTGGCCCACTAACTTTGGGAGTTCAGAAAAAGGCTCAAGAATCAGACACCTGTGGAAAATGCTTTAAAATTAATCCTGACATCTAGTTGTCCTAACTGAGCTTTGGACAATTCAGATTGCAAATGAAGATACTTCAAGATCCTTTGCCTGGTAGCCATCCTTCTTTCTTTAGGAAAGAGGGTGATTTTGACAAACAGCATGAACAGGGTACACTTCTACAAGGCTGGGACCATTCGGTACCAAAAAATCGTCCAGGAGAACTGTAGAAGAAGAGAGAATCCATGTGAGGAGAGAGAGTTAGGATTGGAGTGTTCTGCAGCCTCCATACTTTGATCTATGTTGTGAAAATTCTGGGATACTTGGTAATTTGTACTATTTTTATGGGAAAGTAGAATGCCCATCAGAATCCCAGACTTAAAAGAACATGTTACTGTGGGTGCCGTGACTCTGCATTGTTTTGGATATAAAAGGAGGCCGGTGACTTCGTGAGAGAAGATACTGTGAGTGGACCATGTAGCAACTATTGTGAGTCTTTAAAAACTGTGTTTAAGGTGCAAGGTGCGCAACATCCCGCATAGTGAAATGATTGGGTGGGTTGGGAGAGGGCGAGAAGACCGAAGGAGCCAGTGTTCTTGCTCCTTGAAGTGTACGGCATTGTGTACAACAAGGGCTCTCCCTGGCAGAGCTCTGACACACCAGTGTAGAAAATGCCCCGTTACTGCTTAACACTATCTGGAAAATTAAACACACTATTGAAAAACTGTTTGTATTGGTGCTTTTCCAAGATCCAAACTTTGTATAACTTCTAAAAATAATTCTTCAATTATTTGAGAGCCTAGCAAGCATGTTTCCTGATCTCAGGCAAAGAAATATACCTAAAACACACTCAGGTTCCCTTCAGTTCTGAGTGCCAGGCTCACGGTGTCCCTCTATCTCACCGATGCTCCAGAGGCTGCCCCTTAAAATGTACCACATCCAAATTTTTAAATTAAAAGCTACTCAGATTTTCTAATAACTTCCCAGTAACTTGTCTAGAACTGATTTGGGGGACCAAGGTGGTTGAAATACATTTATTAGTTGATAGTCAACTTCAGAAACTTCTTGCAGATGTAAGAACTTTATCAGGGAATTTGGAGCTGGGCAACCTTGTGCAATGCCTCTGTTTGCTCTTTTGCCTCCAGTTTATTACAGGAGAAATGACTTGCATCATTTTATGGTCAGATGTCTAAACATTTCCTATGTTTACAGTCCTTAAACCAACAGACTCTCCTCAACACCTTGTGGATATCAAGTTTTGTTTTCCTAAGATCTTTCTCGCCTTCAAAATTCTTGTTTGAGTTATATTAAATTTTAATGAATTGGGGATACAGCACAGTATCCCCAGTATGTATTACCTAAGTTAGCAGTCAGCTGCACCAATCTTTTATTTCTGGATAAAGAAAAAGAGAAGCCAAGTGTATAGGTAAGGAGGAAAATGAGATCTTTGAGAAATAATGCCTTTCCAAAGTTGGAAGAAATTATTAAAATCGAGGTAAAACTGAGTTAAAAAAGGACATTGAAATTGTTGTTTCAAATTATACCTTTGTGGTATAATTTATCCCTTTGTGGATGTGAAAACAGTACCATGTATCTGACTTAGCCCAATATCTATTTTTCTCAACCTCAAGATTTATTTTTTCTAGCAAAGATGATGAATTTTCACTACTTTACCAAATTTTATTGGTAACATATGTGGAGACTCCTGTCCAAGGCCGCTCATATTAAGGAAGTTTGCTGTGTTTGGAGAAAGAAAAATCAGATTGCTGATCACCTCTGCTGCTATGTCTGAGAGAAAATGGGGAGTGACTTAGTTACCTCCACAGAGGCTTATCCTTCTCACCTGGAAGCTAGGGGCGAAAACCATGACCACATTATCATGAAGACTGAATGAGCTGAGCAGCAGTGTGCAGTGGAAGCTTCTTAAGGTCTACAAAACAATACACATCTTAGGTATTTCCATAAGCATGGCAGTCATAGGGTTTCTCTAGGCAGACGGCCCCCAGGTTTTGATGGTTCAACCAAGATTTTTTAATTTCACTATCATGCAAAAGAGTGCCCTGCAACAATTCTGTTTTTTACTTTCAGTATAGTATTCAATAAATTACACCAGATACTCACACTTTGGAATAAAATAGGCTTTCTGTCAGACCGCTTTGTCCAACTGTAGGGGTACTGTGAATTCAGAGCATATTTAAGGCAGGCTAGGCTAAGCTATCTTTCTCTTTACTAGGTTGGAGCATGAATTACAAAGGTTTTAAATTATGATGGGTTTATTGAGGCATGATCTGTCACAAATCAAGGAACATCTGTACTTGCAAAATTTTCCACCGCCTAAAGAAAACAGTTATCCCATTGTTTTATAATTGCCATCTTATCAAGGTAACGTCTGGCCCCGAATGGTAGGATGGCTACATCCAGACGGGAGAGTAAGAGGAAAGGAAACACCAGAGGCTCTTGCGGGGGAAGTCAGGGGGCTGCAGGGTTGGGCATCCTGAGAAGCTTGACTGGGCTGGGTGCCCACACGAGGAGGACCAGTCTGTTGGAGAAGTGGAAAGGCATCCAAGGTAAAGGAGTGGTGGGAGACTGAAGATCACAAGTGGATTTCAGGAATGGAGGTTAGCTTTATTTTTCACATTCTAAAAATAATATATATGTGAAATAAGTATAGAGGGTCCGTGCACAGATTTTGGAGCCAGACCATATCGGTTCAAATTCTTTTGTTTATAGGAAGAACAGTTTCCTAGAAGTGACCTCAATTAAAGCCACCTCTGGGAGGTAGACATGGGCCTGAACTTAGTCCTCAGAGGAGTCAAGAGGGAAAGGGAGGGAGAAGGCAAGGGTGCTTTGCTAGCCTCTTCTCATCTGGAAGATAGTTTTAGACCGTAGGTACATATGAGCATTTTTGGTAAAGTACTTGGTTTTATTGTGTGTTCATACTCTACTGCAAAACATTTAAGATTTATAGATGCCCTGAGGTGGCAAGGTATGATTTTTTTTAAAAAGTAGAGCCTATGTGCAAATCTCTTTTTACT